ATATATATATATATATATTCTTAAAAAAAATCGAAATATACTATTTTTTTTTAATTATTTTAGTTTTCTTTTAGAGTATATTTGTTTTTCTTAATATATATTTATATTAATTTAAGAATACATTTTTTAAGAATACATTTTTTTAAGAATATATTATTTTAATATTTATTTCTAAGATATATAAATATTTTAAAACTTTTTTTCTAAGATATATAATTTTAGTAATAAAATATTATTTATATTAAAAATATAAATAAGAGGCTAGAAAATACTAGAAGCTAAAGATATATTACTAAATAATACTATAGTTTTTTTTATATACTAAGTACTATCTAGAAGCTTTCTAAGCTTCTAGATTTTTATTAAAGGTATACTTCTTACGTAAAAGCTATAAAGCTATTAAATTATACTAAAGAAAATTTAAAAATATAAAAAATAACTTTTTTATATAATATAGTATTTAAATATATAACTAATATAAAAAAGGTAAAGAAAATAGCTAGAAATTAAATTCTAAACCTCTCTTAGTAAAAAAAATCTAGTAGGGAAAACTAAGAGAAATAGCTTTTATAATCTAGGCCTTTCTAACTAGACTACTTATATTAAATTAAATAACCTTTAAAGATATATTAAAATAAACTAATAATTAAACTTTTTTCTACTCTAATACTAATTATTAAATTAGATAACTCTAGTAGTAAAAATAAGTAATTTATAGTACCTTTCTAATTATTAACTATAATAAAGATATCTTTTCTACTGCTAGACAAAACGTGCTTTAATGCGATTACTTAGTAGTATAGTTTATACTTGGTAGGTAAGCTATAAGCCACACCTTCCCCGCACCTCCGCATACGTCATTCTGAACCATCAGTGCTTGATATAATCAGTTCGACTCATCCACCCTTTACAACACACCTACACCTCCATACCTTACAATTTTCTCATAGCCGAACGACCCGTATCGACTCTCACCAACATGCCTGTCCACGAAGCTGAGGAGTACGCCAGCGGTAGTAAGTAACCAGTTGATCATCTTAACGAAGTGATCGACTGACGAAATAATCTAGGCATTACCGACAAGGTCGCTAAGGAATCTTCCGACAGCAACGCATCTGACCATCCTCTGCATTCCGGTGACACTGGCGCCACGTCCGGTGGTAAAGAAGGGAAGGCTTCTGCTGCGGACCACTCTGCCCCTCCTGTACGCTTTTCCCCTGCAGACGACTTGTATAATATGTGGCACTACGATACTAACTATACGCATTAGGGACCTGTTATGGCAGAAGGGTTGGGCGAGCCAGCTAGCAAGGAGGAGCTTAAAGCGAGGGCCGCTGAGCTGAACAAATAGAAGGCCTAGACTTTCATGATGCAACGAGCGACCAGTAGATTATGATATCATGACCGAATACACAAGTTTATGTTGAACTGAAATGCTTCTGGCCAGTGTTGTGTCCTTAGTATGTAATAGTCCAGGAGTTCCACCACCTCATGGCGGTACTTCTTCGCCCTTCCAATCCCAGCATCTCCCTCTGCCGTTCTCGAGCTCTAAGCCAATAACGACCTCAAGAAGTTTCTGAGCCGCAAATTCTTTCTCGAACAGCTTTTCTTTTCTAACATTTCCCCAAAACTCTTTGCTAAAATCCGTTTTTACTGTCCCGGGATGCAACCCCACTGCCATTGCGTTCCCTGCGCTGGTCGCTTTCAAATGGTTGTCAAACGTCTTGATAATCTGATTTACTGCAGCTTTTGACGCTCGATAGCTGTACCAACCACCCAACCCATTGTCAGAAATACTTCCGACCCGTGCTGACATGGATGTCCAAATAGCTTGTTTGGGAAGCCCGTCGTAGATGTCCATTTCTTTTCCTTCTCGAAATAGCGATGCACTCTTCCGTGGTAGAAACTGGTGGAAGTGCTTGATAGCGAGAAGGGGTCCTATTGAATTGGTCTGGAAAGTGAGAAGCGCGTCGGAAGATGATATTTGAGCTGGTGACTTTTCGGGGAACAGGACACCGGGGATCACCATGGCTAGGTGCAGATGCCATCCTTCTTTCGGAGGGAAATATCGAAAGCAAGTCGAGGCAGCGGAAGATATGGATTCTTCGCCTAGAAATGATAGTCAAGATCAGCTTCAGGAAAAGGATGCAGAGAATATGTATGCACTCACTGCAAAAGTCAAGCTGGATTACCCGCAATCTGTCACTAGCGCCATGTCCAAGTCCTTCTAGTATTCTTTCTCGCGCCTCGTCTGGCTCTGTTCTCGATGTCGCGATGACCGGAGTTCTAGTAGTTTGAAGAATACGTCGAGCAAGGGCTTGACCTATCCCGCGGGACGCAGGGGATACCAACGCCCAAGGTTTGGAAAGAGACATCCTTTTAAATATGTCCCGGCCGTATATGGATTGGGGGTGACTTTTGTATAAAGCATCCCAGAATTGCTGTAATGTATTTCTTGTTGTAAGACGCGAAAATAGCGCACGAGAGGATATTGAGTGACCTGCAAAACAGAATGGATGATGCAATTAGCGGGGAAGGCATGGAGGATCGACCACGACGATCGGAGCCAGGGCCGAGCCGAGCGATTAATTTGATTTTATTTCAACCTCAACTCATCACCATCAAACATTAACTTTTGGATAAAACGGTAGTACTAAGTGGTAGCTACCTCGCGTGCTACAGTCATCATATTACATATCAGCAAAGACAGCAAAAACCAGCACGTATAATTATTCCCTCATGTTCGAAGAGGTAGAATAGCGAAAACGCGACAGACGAACCTTATGGCTTGAAGTAAAAAAATGATTCTGACAAGGCGACCAGCAGTGGCGAGAAAATACTAAAATTGAGAGCAAAAACAACCAGGAAGATTGTCATTGTAAATCAACTGGCAAGCGAAGGTGGGATTATAAACAACGAACAAATCTCTTAAAGCTCCCAATGCCTTCATCAAGAGCCGAAGGGTGAGTGGTGCAGACCAAAGCATAAGGAGCAGCTTGGCTCACACAGCTGATTCCCTTCATTAGAAGCCCCGAAACATCTTTAAAGGTTAGCCTAGGTTCTGTGTGGCTGTTGCCTCATGGGCTTATCTTACACTTACTGGCCCTGGGTAAATAATGAATTTTAAAAGGACAAACACTAAATTGTATACCAGAGCAACATGGTATCACATTGAGAGGTAAAACATCCAGGGCCTTTTGCACCTCCTCATACACGCAGGCTTTTTCACATATTATCGCCATATGACACCCCACGAATATATTGGTGACGCTGTTGCTATTGTTGCTATTGTTGTTGTCGTTGGAATATATGCCTCGGCTATGCTGGGAATCAACGTTGTGTAGCTGCTAATGAGAAATCGTAAGAATAAAGATGCGTGAGGCAACATATTGCAGAAACAAAAGTTGAACATGACCGGCAGCAAGCACAGATGTTCTAGGTAGGTAACAGATTAAAACCCTTTGTCTAGAAGTCAGCATAGGGAACGGACGTTTCATCACCCATTTGACGGGGAGTGATTGCGCTTACCTGCCTCCGTATTGCCTTCTCCCATACTCTTGTTGCTTGAGCTTCCACTCTGTATGTGTCCCAGAATGCCGTCCATATATCCAGCTCCGCTCCACTTCTGATGGGTCAGAACATCGCAACCCGTATCCTTTTCACGCTGCTGGACGAGTTTGACATATGCCAGCATGCCCTCATCTTTGAATGCCTTGGACAGTTCGTTTGTGATCGTTGCATTCGAATGAAGCCCAGCCAGAGAGATAAGCTGCAAGACAAAACCCTCTTTCGCCAGATCCCAGACAAAAGTCTTGAGGCTTTCTTCCGTAAAACCTTGGCCCATCCAGTTGAAACTCGGACTTAGGTTGTACACCAGCTTTTTGCCGGGAACTGCTGTCCTGATGTCTTTGGCGAATCCTGCGGCGAGCTCAACATTCGGTTCTTTGGTTTCCAGCCAGAGAAGATCCGCAAATGGCGCGAATTCAATTGCTCGCTTTGTCGCGGCGGGAAGGCCTGCCTTATAGTGGTAGAAGCCCTCACGCGTGCGCGGGATATCGTGGGACCATACGACAGGGCTTTTGCTGTAGCCATTGGCGAGGCTGCGTCGTTTGGTGAGGGAGAGATTGGGATTCTTCTTAACTTCATGCAGGTAAGAGTCGATGGAATGCTTGGAGGCGGATTCGGATTTCAGATGATTTATTACAGCTGCGAATGAAGTTAGCCCAGTCTCCGTGACAGCTTTACCATCATTCATCAGGAATTGCCGCCTCATCTTACCCTCGTCAAAAGTCACCAGTTTGTGCTTTTTTACCCATTCTGCCTCAAATGCATCGACCTCAGGCCCGCTAGCTCCCCTCAATTCCATCTCTTGAAGCACTTCTGCCAGTGGCTCTGTCTCTTCTGCCACACCGAGTACAAACTCATGATCTCTGACATCAATTACACTAGAGATCAATTTGCCGCTCTCTGAGTCTGTCCGTGCAATTACGAGGTTCTCGCAGCCCATCATGTCCCATTGGAAACGCGCGGCTACCAATCTATTTATGTGCTCACCCACCGGAACCAGGACCTTACCGGCCAAGTGCCCGCACTTCTTTCCACCGTGCAGTTGATCTTCAAAATGGACTGCAGCAGCGCCATTCTCTGCAAATAGCTTTGCCAATTTAACCACCGCTGACAGACCGCCATGGCCAGTATCACCATCGGCAATTATTGGTCGCATGTAGTCAACGTAAGGTGTCCTCTTGCGCTCCGAAGCATCCATTTTGCGGCGGTTGTCGAAATTCTTCCGGTCGTGGAGCTGCTGAGCTTTGAAAAGACGCTGTACTTGATTTGGCACGGTGTTATAAGGGTAGTCACCGAAGTCCGCCGAAACTTCGTTGGTGGTGGTTAGGAGCGAGGAGCAGGCCCAGCCAGAGATGTAAAGGACTTCTTGGTTCGGGGCTTGCTGGGTCATCTGAACCGGATCGATTGCACCCACTGATGGTAAAAACAAATAAATCAGCATTGTATAATCATCACGCAGCTATGGCTAACATGACCAAGCGGGCGTAAATGAAGATGTCAGGATACAACGCACTCGTGTGTACCGGCAGGCCTTGCGAGTGCCTCCCTTCCAGCAAATTGAATAGCTTCCGAGCCATCAAGCTACTTGGGTATGTCTGCTGTAGCGCACCCCGCTTGGCCACAACGTCCTCGGCGGTATAGGGTCGCTTGACATCACGGTATCTCGGCGACGCCCACCATGCCTTCACCTGCTGCACCTGTGCCTCAAATAGCGCATCCTCAGCATCGCCAGCTTTCTCAGCTGTGGATAGAAGCTGGAAGGAATCGGCTGGCAGAACGGTTGAGACGGGGGGAGTGACGGAAGGGAGAGCGGGGGCCATGCGGGACGCCGAAACAAACAATGGACGAGAGAGAGTAGCAGACAGAGGGCGGCGCATGCGGCGCGCAAGCGTGCGCGAGGCGGTTCGCAGCATTTTTGGATGAGCGAAATTTCCAGGGTGTTGTTGTGATGACGAGGTTCAACGGCTTTCAACGGTCCACCCCGCATTCTTTCCGACTGCCGGCAGCCGAGGACCGGATTTAGCGGGGCCCCATACCCCGGTCATGGAACCTCGCCAGCTGTTCTCCTTGCGCCCGCGATGCTTGAGTCCTGCCTCTTCTCCGCTTCCCCGGAGCTCTATTTTGTCTCGTTCTTCTCGTCTCCTCAATTTTCTGCTTTCTCATACTTCACCAGACCCTCGAAAAGCCTCCGACGTACCTAGCGCCGCCTGCTCTGCATACCGTTAAGACCTGTTACAACGTTTGAGCTGGTCAGCAACTTCAGACCCTTAAAAAGGTGTTTATCGGTATATCCGGCTAGGTTTTCCGCGGCCATTCGCACACCTTGGCAGCTACAAAGAGCGTGACGCTATAAACAGTTAACAAACACTACAAAGAAATCAGTACACTATGGCATTGAATGCTCGGACAACCTCGTCAGCTCTGAGACGAGTACAGGTGAGTGTTCCAGCCGCCATCGTGCTGTGTACTCTTAAACTGACGTTAGATTAGCCCTCGACCTTCAAATCGCTCGCCGCTGGTAGACACCAACATCTTGCCGACAACAGATGTATGCTAACGCAGCCGCGCAGTCCGTCCCCGAGAGCCTCTCCGCACCTACGCTTCTACATCTGAGCCAAACCTCAAGGAGACACTCAAGAGAGTTATTCCTGCAAAACGTGAGCTTCTGAAAAGGGTCAAGGCCCATTCGGACAAGAAGCTTGGTGACCTGAAGGTGGAGAATGCCCTTGGTGGCATGAGGTACAAACCACTCGTTGGCGGCAAAATCCTGAATGCTAATGCGGGGACAGAGGCCTCAAGGCCATGATCTGGGAAGGCAGCGTCCTCGACGCCAATGAAGGCATCCGATTTCATGGACGCACAATCAAGGATTGTCAAGCCGAGTTGCCAAAGGGAACTAGTGGAACCGAGATGCTCCCTGAATCCATGTTTTGGTTATTGCTTACTGGAGAGGTGCCGTCGACGAATCAAGTTCGCGTTCTCTCCCGCGAGCTTGCTGCAAAGGCCACTATCCCCAGATTCGTTGAGCAGATGCTCGACAACTTCCCCAAAGACCTACATCCAATGACACAGTTTGCTTGTGCCGTGTCTGCTCTAAATCACGAGTCCAAGTTCGCAAAGATGTACGAGAAGGGCATGAACAAGGCTGATTATTGGGAGCCGACGTTTGACGATGTTATTTCGCTCCTGGCGAAGCTGCCAACCATCGCCGCCAAAATCTATCAGAACGCGTACCGGGGTGGCGGTGCGCTCCCAGCCTCAATCGATCCCGAACAGGATTGGAGCTACAATTTTGCGGCAATGTTGGGGAAGGGCGGTAAAGAACACGAGGGTTTTCAAGATCTTCTCAGATTGTATCTCGCCCTACATGGCGACCACGAGGGCGGCAATGTCTCGGCACATGCTACACACCTCGTAGGCTCAGCGCTCAGCGATCCTTTCCTCTCATATAGCGCAGGATTGCAAGGCCTTGCAGGGCCATTACATGGGCTCGCGGCCCAGGAGGTTTTGCGTTGGATTTTGCAGATGAAGGAATCCATTCCAGCAGACTTCAAGGAGAGCGACATCAAGGACTATTTATGGAGCACTCTCAAGTCTGGCCGTGTCATCCCAGGTTACGGCCATGCCGTACTCAGAAAGCCGGATCCGAGGTTCCAGGCATTGATTGATTTCGCCAGCAGCAGACCGGAGATTGCCAAGAACCCGGTGTTCCAGCTCGTGAAAGCAAACAGCGAGATTGCCCCTGGGGTGCTCACGGAGCATGGCAAGGTGAGAATTCTCCTCATGGCCGGCAGGCGAAATGGCACACTGACAAAGTCGCAGACGAAGAACCCATACCCCAACGTAGACTCCGGGTCTGGTGTGCTTTTTCACCATTACGGCTTCACGGAGACGCTGTACTACACGGCAACGTTTGGTGTCAGCCGCGGGCTGGGCCCGCTTGCGCAGATGGTGTGGGACCGGGCGCTGGGCCTTCCGATCGAGCGGCCGAAGAGCATCAATTTGGCGGGCATCCTAAAGCAGGTCGAGGGGCAGTGATGAGCAGGTTCCGTAGCATTATGTTGAGAGATACCAACGTAGTAGTTATTTCACAGTTCTGCGGTATTGGTCATCCCCACCAGCCCTACGAAGTACGCCGCCTTACCTAGATAGTGTAACGCATGCATGAGTCAGTGGTCCGGCGGCGCCCCGTGGATAGGTTTTCCCGTCTTGCCCCATTCAAAACTCCCGTTAGGTGCGCGTGCTGAAAAACTACGCCCAACGCCGCCCTCCTTCTCCTTCTCCCCTTTCTCTTCGCGCTTTTCTTTTCGTTCCCTCTCCTCTCCTCTCCACTCTCCCCTGCGCGGCATCTTTTCTTCTATCTTCTTTACGGCGCCCTCTGCTGCGCCTCTATCTTTGCCGTCTCTTTGGAGCGAAGGCACGAAAAGTCAGCACCCGCTCCCAAGATACCCGGGCGATGCCCCACCAAGAACCTCCCCCCATGGAGCCCGTTGTTGCCAAAACCGCCGACCCTGCCGCCGCTATCCCGCCTAGCGCCGAGGAGGTCTCCTCGATTCTGAGCACCATCTTCACCAGCAAGACGTCGCAGGCCTCGCTAGACGCTGCTTACGCGCTGACTGGCCTGCTTCAAAACTCGGTCGGTTTCAGAGGTCTCCAGGGCTACGGCATACTCGACGAGGTCAAGAAGGCTGCCACGAACAAAAAAGATGTCGGGCGAAAGGAGGGCGCAATGTTTGCCATCGGTGCTTTGTTCGAGAGGATGCCTCCCCACCAGCGCTTGACTGAGGTCGTCTTCTTGCTGCAAGAAGATGGTCTGGTGGCCCTGTGCTTGGATGCCCTCTCCGACAAAAGCTCGACAATCAAGGAGTCCGCGCAATACGCTCTGGATGCGCTTTTCACCAACCTTAGGGCTGAGTCTCTTGTTGACGGTCTTTTGCCCGCTATAACCAAATACCTTTCCAAGAAGTCCGGAAAATGGCAAGGTTTCGTTGGCGCGTTCGCCCTCATCACTCGCATGGCAGACAAAGCGAAGATTGGCATGGGCAGTCTGGAAGAAGAAACGGAGAAGGATGTTCTCCGTGAGGCTTTGGGCAAGAAGCTCGCCAGCCTCATCCCCATCGTGGAAGATGGTATGCACGACTTGAAGGGCGAAGTTGCCAAACAGGCCGTTAAAGCCATGAACTCTTTGGCTACTCTCCTTCAAAACGACGACATTGCCCCCCGGATGCCTCTGCTCATCAAGTCCATGGAGAACCCTTCTACCGAGACTTTGAACAAGGCCATTCATGCCTTGTCTCAAACTACGTTTGTGGCTATCGTCACTTCTCCCGTCCTTGCGGTCGTGACGCCTCTCCTTGAGCGTGCTCTGAACAACCCTTCGACATCCCAGGAGGTTCTGCGGCAGACCACTGTTGTCGTTGAAAACCTGACCAAGCTTGTGCATGATCCAATCGAGGCGCGCGCTTTCTTGCCCAAGCTTCGACCCGGTGTCCAGGCGGTCAGGGACCGCGCTTCGCTTCCCGAGGTCCGAGAGATCGCAGACCGTGCACTTGAGGTCATCAAGAAGGCTATGGCAGATGACATGGACGCCGCTACTAGCGGCGCCATCTCTCGTGCTGGTCGCGAAGACGTTGCGACGGTCCTTGACAAGGAGATTGCTACCAACGGAGGCCTCCTCAACTACCCCAATGACGACCTAGTGTGGCCTTTCGCTCGCAGCCATATCGCTGAGATGGTCGCGGAAGATGTCAACCAGCGCCAGCTTGAGCGCATCATCCGCTCGATTGAGCCTTACCTGCAGCCTCTTGTCCAGGAAGGTGCTTCTTCGACTATTGCGGCCAACATCCGGCAATACTACGTTGAAGAAGACGAACGCAAGTTCGGAAAGCCCATCCAAGATGATGATGGCGAAGTTGAGATTGTTAATGCCACTTTCTCCTTGGGCTACGGTGGCATGCTTCTGCTCTCCCACACGAACCTGCGTCTGTTGAAGGGTCACCGTTACGGACTTTGTGGTCGCAATGGTGCTGGTAAATCTACTCTCATGAGAAGTATTGCGGAAGGCAAGCTGGAGGGCTTTCCTCCTCAGGACGTCGTCAGGACTTGCTTCGTCGAACACAACCAGGGCGAAGATGCTGATATTAGCATCCTGGAATATTGTGTCAAAGACCCCAAGCTCCAAGGAGAGAGCCGTGAGCGTATCTCTGAGGTTCTCGAAGAGGTTGGTTTCACTTCCGGCCCTGAAGGCCGCCAGGCCCAGAAAGTCGGTTCGCTCTCCGGTGGATGGAAGATGAAGCTGGCCCTTGCTCGGGCTATGTTGATGCGTGCCGATGTTCTGCTTCTGGACGAACCTACCAACCACTTGGACGTTGCCAATATCAAGTGGCTGCAGGAATACCTGAGGAAGCATACTGAGATTACGAGCTTGATCGTCTCCCACGACTCCGGTTTCTTGGATGAGGTCTGCACGGACATCTACCATTATGAGGGCAAGAAGTTGGTTTGCTACAAGGGCAACCTTGCTGCTTTCGTCAAGCAAAAGCCCGAGGCTTCAAGCTATTACACATTGTCCACTTCGAATGTCCAGTTCAAGTTCCCTCCTCCGGGAATCCTGACGGGCGTCAAGTCCATGACTCGGGCCATCCTGCGCATGTCCAACTGTACCTTCACGTACCCTGGCTCCGCAAAGCCATCTTTGCACGATGTGTCTTGCTCGCTTTCTCTCTCCTCCCGCGTGGCCATCATTGGTGCCAACGGTGCCGGCAAGTCTACTCTTATCAAGATCCTTACTGGAGAGTACATCCCTCAGGAGGGCAGAGTTGAGAAACACCCCAATCTCCGTATCGGATACATTAAGCAGCATGCCCTGGAACACGTGGAGATGCACACAGAAAAGACCCCCAACCAATACCTGCAGTGGCGTTACGCCAACGGCGATGACCGTGAGGTCTTGATGAAGCAGACGCGTATCTTGACCGAGGAAGACAAAGCCCAGATGGAGAAGCCCGTCGATATCGGCGATGGTAGGGGTCCGAAGAGGATTGAAGCTCTTATCGGTCGTCAAAAATACAAGAAGAGCTTCCAATACGAAGTGTAAGTGTCCTCACCGATGCATCCACGCAGTCGGCTAACGTGTCCTATAGTAAGTGGGTTGGCCTTCTTCCCAAGTACAACACGATGATTTCGCGTGAGACTCTCACCGAATTGGGTTTCGTCAAGCTCATCCAGGAGTTCGATGATCACGAGGCTTCCCGTGAAGGTTTGGGTTTCCGTCAACTGGAGCCCAAGGTCATTTCCAAGCACTTCGAGGATGTTGGTCTGGATCCAGAGATTGCAAACCACAACCAGATCTCTGGTCTCTCTGGTGGGCAGAAGGTCAAGGTTGTGCTGGCCGGTGCTATGGTAAGTCATATCCAACGTTTGAAGATGTCCTGCGCTACATTTGCGCTTCTGAAACGGCAAATGATCATATGTGCTGACCAAATTTTATAGTGGAACAACCCTCACCTTTTGGTGCTTGACGAGCCCACTAACTTCTTGGACCGTGATTCCATGGGTGGTTTGGCGGTTGCTATCCGTGAGTACAAAGGAGGTGTCGTCATGATTTCTCACAACGAGGAATTCGTTGGTGCCCTCTGCCCTGAGCAGTGGCACGTCGCCGATGGCCGCGTCATTCAGAAAGGCAACGCGGCTATCGACAACAGCCGCTTCGAAGACAGCAAGCCTGCCTCGAGTGTCGCAAGCAGTGTTACGAACAGCGCTGCCCCGAGTGCGGCGACTAGCGAGGCGGAAGGTGACATGAAGTTCAAGGCAAAGAAGAAGAAGAAGATGACGAGGGCGCAGCAAAAGGAGAGGGAAGTGCGCAGGAGGTTGAGGCATATTGAATGGCTTAACTCTCCGAAGGGCACCCCTCACCCCCCGGACACTGATGACGACGCTTAGACGGCATTAAAAGTGCTTTTTTATTGATGGCATTGGCGGAGTTCATGGCGCGTGTGTTAGACTGGTCTACAATGAGGTGATAGAATTCTAGAGATGGCCTTTTGATTAGTAGTGGTGGCACACGGATTCCGAATCACGGTATCTTGAATAGACTGGCTGTTTTTATGAGTGTTGTTCTGTCGATCCCTCCTGCTTCGTCGAGCTCCCCGCAAGTCAACTGCGTACCAGATATGTCATATATGCACAAGAGCTCTGCAGCAGTTCCATGTGACTGCCGCAGATCTATCTGGCCAACGCATCTGAAAAGAATGATCTGACGCAAACCAGACCCACTTGCCACTGGACCCTGGCTTCCTATTAATACCGTGACACTGTTGAAAAGGAGGCTTCTTTTCTACGTCTGTTTCGCCCCCAACACATAGCAATAGCGGAGATATCCTGCACTCCATTCATCACACCGCATCGTGGCTTTTGCGCCTGATACACACCGCTAGAAGCAATCAGTACAGATAGAGCCCCCCGAGGAAATTCGAGCCAAATCATATCACCGCCATCAACATGTGTCAAAAAACACGCTACACGTACTCGTGCGGCCATCGCGACATCAACATTAAATTTTGCCGCTACAAGTGCTATCTCATTACACACCCAGAATGGGCATTTCATTTCGATGCCCCAGACGACGACAATCGCATTTGCCCCGACTCCTCTTACGTCGTACCTGACGCGTCGCTGTCTTCTTTTTCGCTTGAGAATCCGGGACCTTTATCTGCTGCCAACGGCGACGTCGCGGTACCGGCCATGGAGACGACGCGGAGCAGAAGTAACAGCGATAGTGACGGTATCGAGACGGTTATCATCCGCCGTTGCGGCTGGTGTCCAGAGTGTGAGGACACTGACTGGGGCGATGCGTCAGATGCTGGTGAATGGAGAACTTTCCAGCAGTGCAGGAGGCCTGGCTCAGGCGGAAATGGGCTGAGAGAACAAGGACTTGGCGGGCTAGAGACGCCGGCAAGGGTCATTGAGAGACGGACAGGAGTGGTGAGGAGGGTGAGTGATGCTGCAACGCGGGCCATGTGGGGTGGGTTGAGAAACATGATTCGGTTTGGTGGCATGGGAAGGCCGTGAGAGCAAGCGGAAGAACAATCCTTATGTTCGGGCGTTCGAATTTTGGTCGATGCTTGCGACGGAAGCCGGTAGTGGGAATTGTTAGTCCATGACGAATGAATGATTGTACGAAATAGAATGAAGATCTTGCATACTGTTATGTTCAGGATGGCTCCCCAGTTGAGATATTGTGATGTCAAGCATTAGGCTTTCTCCCCTTTGCCATGAACACCGTCTTCATAACAGTTTCCTTCATCTCCAAGACCGCCTTTTCAGGGAAGACACTGAGCCCAAAATCCACCAGTCCTGCCTCTTCGAACAGACTTCGCATTCCCGGTTCATCAAAACCAAAAACCCGGACGTTGTCCTGCAGCTCTTTAGGGACTTCTTCGTGGGGTTTGCCTAGAAGATCGATGATGAAGAGTACACCACCGGGCCTCAAGCGTTTAACAAGGCGTTTGGTGGCTAGTAGAATGTCTTCAAAATGGTGAAATCCGAGACCCACAGCAGCTATGTCAAAGCCGTAAAGGGATTGGTCGGACAGACGACCATCCGGCTCGCTGCTGGTGAGATCACCAACAATCGCAGACATTTGAGAGGGAGTAAGGCCAGCGGCACTTGCATTAGTGTTGAACTTCTCAACCATGTTTGGCGATAGGTCTATGCCGCGAATAGTTGTCACATGGGAACCGAGAGCCTGTAAGGTCCCCATTAGTGAATTTATCGACGACTTATGAGGGAGAGACATACTCGAGAGATCAGACCAGTGCCGCAAGCATAATCAAGAAGACGGACGTCTTTATCAGAGCTGCCAGGCTGTGCCCACTCCACATCAAGCCAATCAAGGCGGTCGCGGATTGCCTGAGTGAGCATGGAATTCATTTTCTTTTGCCATGGTATGGCGTCGTACTCTGAAGCAAGCTTACTACAGATAAGGTCAATCGCTGCTTTGGGTAGTGGTTGATGCGCACTTACTCGAAGCGGTTGCGATTTGCCTCCGTGAAACTCATTCTGGCGTAGTGGATGATGAAGTGAACTATACTCAACAGCACCTTTACGGCAGATTGTGAAGCTTTATAATGGTGCATCAGAAGGAAGACATGAATAATAAGTTTCCGGGGAAATCCCCGATTGGCCAGGACACACGCTGAACGGAAACTAAACGGAATCTAAACTTCTAATATTCTCCGCAGCTTAGAATGGTGTCACGGAAGAGGGGCTTGTGTCAGCATCCGTATCCCTCTTGTTCACTTTTAGTTGCTGCAAACGCAGACCTTCGGCTCGTTTTCGTTCTCTCCGCGTTGCAGCATCCTCCCAGTCCGGAGCATTCTTCTTTCCTTTTGGGGCCTTGCTGGTCGGGCTGTTACCTGCGGACTCGAGGAGCTGCTTCTTGAATCTTGCAATTCGATCCGTGTTAACTTGGAATCTCTCATTGGCTAGTTCTACCAGACCGTGTAGATATGGCCCATCCACAACTGGGATCAGCTCTCCGTCTTCATCCTGGTATCCAATGACAGAGTCAAAAGCAAGGCCAATGGAACGCACTGCTACCATTGGAGTTACGCTTCCATCGGCGTTCCTGGTTAGGCTGACAGAACCACTTTCCCTGAACCCAGCTTGCAGGGCCGCGGAGAGTACTCTTTGGGCATCCTCGAGCGACGCGGTAAACAGGTGCAGAATCTAAGAGCAATCAGAACCCTGAACCCACAGGGAAGGGTTGCAATCATACCATAGCCTCAAACTTAAGATGAACGTATCGTCGTCCTGGTTGGTGCTTGAGAGGCTGTTGACCCTTGGAGCTTTTCAGGCCAAAAAGATCATAGAAACGGATATCCTCAGCATTGTCCGGTATCCTGATGGGATCATGAGACACAAAAAGCCATTGCCCCCCGCCTTTACCCCCTGGTCCGGCGATGCTCTGCTCTTGAGATACTTCTTCTTGGGACTTGGCGCTGCCGGCTGCCAGCTTTTTCTTGCCCTCGAGGAAGGCGCTTATTCGACCCGCGCAGCTGCTGGTGGTAACAAGGCCATCAATTTCATTGATTTCATCAATCAACGTGCGAATGCCCTCGTCGATGGTGCCTTTCGGAGACAAGTCATTGTATGCCTCAGCTGGCTGGTTGAGCTGTTGCAGAATCTTCTGCTTCTTTGCTTGGAAAGCGGACGTCATGGCGCCCAGAGGATAACGCAAAGATGCAGCTCGCGGTGGTGTCGTCTCAGGGGGGTCACCTGCTCATAGGATTGGGAAGTGGAATTTGGGACGGGATGGTCAACGCGTATGCGCGCACCGGCGCGCCAAAGTGCGTCATTCGTCGCTTAGGGGAACAATGTACCAGGATCCTCAAAGCTTCCAGCTCGGAGCTCCATCCCGTGCAAACAGCCTCAGAACCCCCCAAACTAAACTTTTGCACGACATGGCGCGGCGATCGCTTCGAAGGCCGGGAACTTCAGTCTCTCGTTGCTCCTCCAAGAGAGCTCTTTCGCCCAAATCCACGCCGACGCGGCAAGCGAAGCGGGCCAAGGCACAAGGCAGCTCCAAAGCGACGCCCGCAAAGAGCAAGTATTTCGAGCATCCGTCCGACAGCGAAGAGAAAGGCCAAGAACAGCCGGATACGTCGTCTGCCGAAGAGCATTCCGACCACGAGGATGAAGACCCCGCTGCTGCCGAATCGCCCTACGAGAGCGACGCATGTCCCTCGGGCGAAGACGAAAAGCCAAAGAAAAGGGGAAGGCCAAAGAAATCAGGCTCTAGTTCCATCAAACCAGCGGCTAGCAAAGGAAAGGAGTTGTGGAGAGCTGGGGCCGAGTTGGATATTGAACCTGGTACTCAGCTGATTATCAAAAAGCCCAAAGCCCGGGAAGCTGGAAAGACGCCGTATACAGACGACACGATCCACCCGAACACTCTGCTTTTCCTACGCGATTTGGCCGAGAATAATGACCGGGAGTGGCTTAAGAGTTAGTATTTACTTGAGCTCCGCTCAGAATGTCTTCTGCTGCACGCCAAGCATCGCCCAGTTTTAACTCTCCGAAAGCTACCGGCCGCAAGAGAGCGTTGGACACGTGTCATGCGTGCTTGAGCGGCTAGGCCATGAATATGCGTATTCTGAGCGCGGATCAAAAAAAGCTAACGTACTGTGATAATCTGCAGTGCATGATCCCGACTACCGAACATCCCTGAAAGATTTCAATTCATTCGTTGAACGACTCACGGAGAAAGTCATTGAGGCAGACGAGACCATCCCTGAGCTACCGATCAAAGACGTCGTGAGTGTGCAGATTTCCGAGACCATTCGAGACCCACTGTTGACATGTGCTGTACAGGTCTTTCGTATCTACAGGGACATCAGGTTTAGCTCTGACCCAACACCGTACAAGGTCGGCTAATCCCGCTCCTTCATATGCAAGATCCACATTTAACCATCACTAGACATATTTCTCCGCAGCCTGGTTTGCCCCCGTGCATTTCAATGGTGTAACATTGAACTGAGTCCGTCACAGGTCTCGGACAGGCCGAAAAGGGCCATATGCTGCGTACTACGTTCAGGTTCAACCTGGTGGCAGTTATGTCGGTAAGGCACCTACTCTTTTGTCATTCCCCAATCACACGACACGGGAGAGCAATAGGCGGACAGAGTGCGGGAAGTCGACAAGGATCATCCGCGACAAGGTTGCAGAGCGCATGGTCAATTCCAAATGAGCCGCAAAACCCGCCGTGGCTCCGAGGCTATACGGCTACTGTTGTGCAACAAGGCTGTTCGAGACTGTTACGCAGACGACCACTGGACCATGCCACCATGTTCAAAATCTACGCGCTGTCAGACATTTCCACGCTACGTCTGAGACCGTATGGGGTCAAGCCAGTGTTGGCGGTGGATTTCCAGTGCCAGGCTGCGTCGACGTCGTGGAACCCATTCCAGACTGGAGATCCAGCAATGAACCGCTCAATCAGAGAAGCATTGCAGGAGAATACCAGAGGTCAGCAGGTGATAAGGACCGGACACTGGGCAGCCGTACAGTACGCAGTGCGACAACTCTGCCGTCATCAACCAGCCGCCTTCCACGGTCACATTTATGCTTCGCTTCGTCGGCATGGGCGAATATAGTAACGCGGTAACATCTGCGGTTGAATCCGATTGGGGCTAGAACTGTTTGTAGCAAAACCTGGGTCATACGCAGGCGTTTCTGCCGAGCGTACGGCCATGGAAGGTTGAGCCTGCACGAGTCCATCCGGAGCTGCGACTGCGTAAGCGCACTCTGGAAACTGCGCACCCTCCCGAACTTGTATCCTCGTTGGGACCCGCGGTCACACGGCAAAGGTTTTCTAGTCGTTTGAATGCGGTTCCAAATCAAGCCGATCTACGCGGAGTACCTGTGGCAGCTGCCACTCCAGTCAATTGTCAGCTTGTCCTCTAATGGCGAAACGGGCTCGATAAAACGATAACGATGTTTTGGTCCTCTTCAGGAGGATTGCTGGAATGATACTCGGCTGGAAATGGTTTTGGGGAAGCAGTCGACAGAACCGACACACTGTCGGTGGAAAACCAGTTTGGTTTCTCGCCCCCCCCCCCCCCCCTAGACCAGCCGGTAAAGTTGATGAACACGAACAATACCTGGCATCAAAGCGTCTTACTGGAGTCCCAGCCCCACCAAGCAGCCTGCACAGCGGCCCGTTGTGCATTGTAGCGGCTGCACGCTTCTTCAAGCCCAAGATCCCACGTTGCTTCCGGACGCCTAGATCCGGTCTACACGTATGTCTTATCAGGACCGATACCAACAAATGACTGACGGCTGCAAAAAGCCGTTGCGACCAAAGATAGGCCCGCATCTGCTTTTTGAGCGGCGAGAGCGGCACCTGGCGTCGCAAGGCGGGCGTGTGGAACCGTTGTTACACCCGCAGCAAACCGCTTCAGAACGCCATAGCCGCCGTCCCGTTGTCCGCAAATCTTGACGGGTGGTTGCTTGGTCGCACGAAGATCGTGTTTCACTGACGGATTGTTGAATTAGGTGGCGGACTCTGGATGCCCGCAGCACCCAGTCTTCAGCGACTGCGACGCAACATCGACACACGGCCGCATGAGATCAAACGAGTCTTGACCGACGCGGGAATCCGGGAAGAGTTCTTTGACGGGATTGAGGATGACGAGAAGGAAGCGGTTCGGGCTTTTGTCAAGCAGAACGCGGAGAGCGCACTCAAGACAAGGTTAGTCTGGATTTCACGTCACCTGCACCTGCACGCCCTCTCGTCTCCCCCATATGCAAGGACAAAGGAAGCACCACGCCGGCTCGCCGGCTCGCCGTCTCGTAGGGCGAAGGGTTTGGGCGGCGGAAGACGCTAAGCGCCAGGCTGCCGCAAGAAAGGAAGGGGCAAACGCGCGTAACCGGCGCACCCCTCGCTCATCTATCTACCACACCAGGGGCCAGACTTGCGGTGAGGACAAGCTGCAAGCAGAGGAAGACTTGGGTACAGCGAGGCGATTGGCCTCGCGGGGGAGATGAGGGCGACTCTAGCCTGGGCGACTAGCACGAAGCCACCAATTTGATACGGCACCAACGGTAGCAGGCTGGGAGCGGACGGGTCGAGAGGCCGGCTGCGGCCATGGGTCGTCATGGATGATGGATGGGCTAACGTGGGCCTCGGCAGGCCGCAGGGCTACGACAAGGAGCACCGCGACGTGGAGCTGCTGCGGCTGCGCAGCTTCAGCATCGGGCGACGGGTGAGCGACGGCGTCGTGGAGGGGCCGGGCGGGCTGGCGCGCATCGCGGGGCTGCTGGCGAGGCTTGGGCCGTTTGTATGTTACCTGTCTCTTTCCTCTGGCGACGGGCTTTGCAGGCTGACGGCGCAGATCACGTACCTCAACGGCGTAGTCATGCCCGACTGAGTTGTCCACTGGGGCCGGGGGAGGGCCGGAGGGGGCGGATTGCGCGCAGCAAGAATCGGGCACGTGACCTGGGTGGCTGGCGGGGGGAGGCCAAAGTTTAAACCGGGATGTGCGATTTGGATGCCCGTGAAGAAAAAAGCTTACTGTGCAGCAGCACCAGGGCCGGGCCGCGCGAGTGGGAATATGGGAAGGAAGGGACCTAGGGTGCGCCTGCCCTCTTGGTAGTTTTTAGCCATCCACTCTTTCCTTTGCATCATCCATGTCATCCACATCCATCCATCCATCCATCCATCCATCCATCCATGTCCATGTCCATCACCACCCACCGTCATGCCCGCATCATGCCCGCTGCCCGCTGCCCGCTGCCCGCTGTGCCCGCTGTGCCCGCTGTGCCCGCCCGCACAAGCACGCAAGCAAGTACAAGTACAATGCCTCCATCTCGTCCCACCTCTCCCACGTGGATGGCGCGAACCTCAGCGCGCACACGGCCCGTCGCGACGCGGCACAGCGACGGGCTGATCTTCTGACCTGGCACAGCCACGGTGCGCCGATCCAGCCGGGCTAGCATAATTTTCTGCTCCACGTCGGGCTTTTTCCACGGGCGAGATGCGGGCCCGGCAGCCCTACTATCGGCACCAAGGCCGCATCCCGCTGGCCACGTAACTGGCGACACCTGACGTGCGGCACTTACGTACGGCCCGGCCCTGGGACAGCGACGTAACGCGCGGGCAGAGTTTTGTGCTTGCCACGCGACACGGCTTCTCCGCTCCCTGCGATGCTTCCTGGCGGTGATCTGACCACGAGCAGCGCGCGCACACGGCATCGCCCGCCGTGCCAGCTGCTAGTGGGAAGCACCCGCCTCTAAAACCCAGAGCCCCGCCGCTGGGTCTCTTCGCCTCCTGAACGCCGGATCTCCCAGCTGCAACACCCTCCACGCCTCCTCCACTCTGCAGCCCCCCTCGGCTAGCGACAAGCTGTCACACGCCCCATGCCCGCGTCCTCATAACCCGCAAATGTACCCTCATCACTCGGCTGCTCCCTCGTCGCACTGGGCATCCCCCTCCACCGAGTACTCCTCTCCCCAGCCCCAACCTGCCGCCCGCCCTTATCCGCCTCCGCCGCCCCAGGTATGCCGATCCGTCCCGCGCGCCCTTGCCCCATACATACTCACCACTCCCCTCCAGCTTCATCCTCCGACTCTCCAAGAGCCTCGTCCCGACATGACTTCTCTACAACAGCAGCAGCCCTACCGCCTGCCTGCGCCCCATCAGATGTACCCGGGCCCTACGCCGCCCGATCCCTATCGCCAGCCTCCTCCGCCACACGCCCTCTACCAACAACATCAGCCTGCCCCGCGCCAGAGGACCGCCATCGCTTGCCGTTATTGCAGGCGACGCAAGGTACTGACTTGAGCAGCCTATTGCTTTCCCCCCCCCTTCCTTTCTTTTTCCTTTTTCCTTTTTAACCATCGCTTTCGCCTTTTATTTTCTTTATTTATTTTTTTTTTTTTTCCTTTGCTCTCGCCGGCTGACCTTGTCTTCTTTTTCCCGTTAGATTCGCTGTTCCGGCTTTGAAGCTTCCGAAGATGGTCGTTGCACCAACTGCGTCCGCTTCTCTCAAGAGTGCATCTTCACCCCCGTCTCCGCCCAAACGCAAGCCTTTGTTCCTGCGCACACGGTATGGCGCGGCGGCGGCGCACCGCCTCCTCTCTACGGCGCCTACGGCCAGCCTCTCCCCGCTACGCAACCTACGGACCCGTACGGCGCGCCGCCTCGCCCTCAGCCAGGCTACCCGCTGCCTAGCCCAACAGGTCCGTATTCTGCCCCGGGCCCCGTCTACCCGCCTCCCCCGGTGGCTCCGGGCTACGATGATCGGAGCCGTGACGTGAGCGGGGCCCGGAAGCGTCCTACGACTGAGCCCCATACGCCCACTCTGCCGCCGCCGAATCCCGCTGTAGCGTCACATCTCCCAGTGTCTCGTGCCTCGGAATACACCTACCCTGATCCCACTGCTCTGACTCAGGCTGCGGCCTCTCCAGCTTCCTCGACTGCCTCTTACCAGTCTGCGCCGCATCCTCAGGCGCAACCTTACTACGCGCCCCAGCCTCCGCGTCGTTCAAGTCCGCAATCCGCTTACTCTTACGACCCCAGCCGTGCGAGCAGCAGCCCTCACACTCAAGGTGCTCCGAGCACTCCTGGCAGTTCATACACTTATAGCAGTGACGCCACATTGAGGCCGCCTTCGAGCATTCCCATTCGCCAGGACGGTAGGACCCCGCCTCCGCCCACGTCCTCGGCTGGCACTCCTGCGGCTGGTGGCTCGAGAGCGGCAATGCGCATTTCCGACATGGTCAGCGGTGGTGACTCTGGGAGGAGCGCTGCGGACGCCGACATGCTGAACGCCTTGAACAGGAGGGGCATGTGAATATTTTTAACGACAAATGGGAGATGAGCGACGAAAAACCAAAACCAATCGGACCCCGATGCAGCAGGAGCTGGCTCTCCGACGCTGCGACGACACAACCAGCAAAATCAAGCATCTGCTACGAAAGAAACTAAGGGTCCAAAAGGCCAAGGAGAAATCGGAGGATTTCCACGTCGAGGAGCCATTAATCCCTCCATTCCTGACTCTTCGGCCACGTTTGTACTGGTCTCGTCACCACAGTGGGCGGTCATGCTTGAAGCGAGCTTTGTTGAGTTTCACTGTTTTTCTTTTTTTTATCCGCGAGCATGCATTGAAAGTCCCAAACCCACCGGCGGCTCCAGCTTGATGTTTTCCTGCGCTTCACTTTTTCTGCTCGCGACGCCGAGACGGGACCGGACGGGATTCCCCTTATTCATGATCCCGACACCCCAGAGGGTTTGTAAAAGCGAGTTTCATTCTGTCGTTTCCGCGGGCTAAGTCTGCTGTTGTTTGATCCGAATCATTGTTGTAATTAGACGTTTTTGTTCTCAGCTTTTCAGAATAACGCTGAGATCTCTTGAATCTCTTTTTCCTTTTCTTTTTCTTCCCCCCCCCCTCTTTTCTACGTGACGACGGGGGCACGATTTTCGTTTTCTTTTCTCTCTCATGGGAACCGGAGCGATCAAACAAGGAAGATGATTTCATGACATTTTCCGTCTTTCACCAGCAAAGACTTAGATATCCTGGTCAGTCCAAGCCGCCATGGTCCAGGGGAGCTTGGCGTGGGTTTTTCTGGCATTTTTTCCTTTACTTTCTTTCGTCTTTACTGCGTCACATTTTGCAAAGCATCCTGGGCCGATTGTCTGAACAACAAAATCGCAAGCATTACCCCTCGTCTTGGTCGCCTTGGAAGCCGCCAACACCGTATCCCAAAACGGACGTTGACTATGGAAGCAGGGGTGCGGCGGCGCAGGCAGGGAGGCCTGTCGAACATCGTCAGCAGACTAAAAGTAGAGCCATTCACCCACACAGGCGCGCATCCGGACAGCCGTATGTACGGGCGTAAGCAGTCGTGCCGCACCAAAGGAACAATAACCTTTCCCACAGCCCGCTAGCGGTTTCCCAGAGCAGCAGCAAGGCGTCAGATCCGGACTCTGCTCACCTGACAATTGCGCAGCGTTGAGAGCGTGTTGCGCCGCCAGCAGGCACCAGCGCGAGGCATTCGCCGGGCAATCCCACTCCGCGGACTGGGGGCCTCGCCAAGTCGAGTCATGACCAGATGGTGGTAGTTGTAGTAGCTGTTCTCTCTTCAGATGCCCGCCGGCGCACGCACGCGCACGTCGCGGCTGCCTCGGCCCCTGCCGTCCGCTGTCTCCGCTGCAGCAAGGCGATGGGACGGCCCAATCTCCACCGCCCAGCCCGCACGCAACCGCGCACCGAAGTTTCCAATAGACGCGCAGAATTATCGCCGAGCGGTGCTGGATCGACGCGGCGCCATGACTGCGCGACTCGTCCCAGCCGGCCATCAGTGCCCAAAGCGAACAGACACACAGATCGCGTCCGTCAAGAGGCGCGCGCGCGCGCGAGCGCATGACCCATGGGTCGTTCCACGCCTCACTAACCGCTCGCATCGATCGTCGAAAACGGAGTCGCGCGCAGCAAAACGGCGGCGGCGTTGGCGGGCGGCGCGGGCGTCAGCGCGCACAAGCGCCGCCCTTTCGCCTACTCCTGCGCCTGCTGCGCCTGCGCCTGCGCCTGCATCTGCACTGCGCTGCACTGCGCCGCGCCGCGCCGCGCCGCGCCGCGCCGCAAACCGCCTTTAATTCCGATCTGACGTGGCAAGTTGTATCGGCGGCGGGCCGCGCGGACCACGCGGACGCACGTGCTCGACGCTGGATCGTAGAGGGCCCTTGGCGGTGAGCAGGAGCCGCGATGATGTGAGGAGGGGCGGGCGGTGGGTGGCGGAGACGGAAAGAGGGAGAGGACCATGTCGCTTTGGATTGGTGGTGGTGAGAGACTGGGGGGGAGGTCGGGGTCGGGGTCGGGGAGGAGGGGGCGGTGCAGGCTGCAGCACCAGTGGATGGAACGGCGGGACGGTTCTGGGCGATTGGGTGCAGGGACGGGAGGCGGGCCGGATGCGGCAAGCGGTGCGGCACGGTTGCCAATGGGTTGGCGATTGGGGCCGGAAGGCGGCGACGGCGTCGTCAGTCATCGACGTCGAGGGGCGTGGCGGGCTGCTGACCAACCAGTCAACAGACCAAGGAAGAACAAGGTCCAGCCGGGGCCCTGGCGGTGGGAACGAGTTGAGCCGGGGGCGGAGGTCAAAAGGGTGGAGAGAAGGGAGCGAGGCGCGTCATCAGCCGAGAAGGATTTCCCACAGAGGGCCAAGCGGTGTGTGGGACGTGGACTTGGGCCTGACCATTTGCCGTTTGCGGGAAGCGAAAGGCGGGAAGAGGGGAGGGGGGAGGGGGGGAGGGGTGGGCACTGGGGGAGCCAAGAATAGAAGCGGATATCAATAGCCAGGTCCCCAGGCAGGCAGCGAGAGATCAAAGGCAGGCAGGCAGGCAGGCAGCAAAGCAAAGCAAAGTAAAGCAAAGCAAAGCAAAGCAAGGCAAGGCAAGGCAAGGCAAGGCAAGCAGCATCCGGGGACGTCGGATAGATGCACACAATATGCGATGAGTCGATAAGATTGATTAGTGATAGCTTACCTACGGCTGGCCCCGACGCTCGCTCGCTCGCAGATGACGGTCCGGCCCGGCAGGCGCAGCCCAACCCCCCAACAAGACGACGGACGGACAACGACAACCGATGCCTGCCTGTCTGGGTGCCTGCCTGGGTGCCTTCCGTTCCTCCCAATTCCTTCCTTCCTTCCTTCCTTCCTTCTTTCCTCTTCCATCCTCCCGTCTCTCTCATTTTCCTTTTTCCTTTTACCTATCCTCCTCCTCTTCCACCTCTCCCTCACAAAACACACCTAAGCACCATTATCATCATCATCATCATCATCATCATCATCACAGCCACCACCACCACCACCACCACCACCACCACCACCATCAGTGGATCTTGCCTCGTGACGCCAAAGAGCGGTGAGTCTGTCCTTGGCCCCGGGCTGCTGCGTCTGTTGGCTGTCGCAGGCCCTGCCTACGTAGTAGGTACCTGCCACCTGCCACTTCATTATCAGCTATATCTCGCGCGCATTAAAACGTGCGAGAGATGATCGTCGAGAGGATCTCCATGTGACGGCCCGGCGACCGCAAAACACGCGTGCCGTGTCTCATCGAGATCGCGCACGAAAGAAGAGAGGGGGCGGCGGCGGCGGCGCAGCATGGGCGTGCGCAAGTGTGTGTGCGTGCGTACGTGCGTGCGTGCGTGCACGCCCAGATGCTGCGACGCCGCGGCCGCCGCCGCTGCTACCCTTTTTCTCTTTTCTCCGTCTTTCCGGGGTAATACCTGGTCGCTTCGAGACGTTTGACGTCGTCGATGAAGGCGCCAATCTGCTGCACCTGTCGTCGGTCCATCACCTCCCGACTCGTCTTGCTGAGGTGAGCTGGACGAGGAATGACTGATGACTCGATGCTCTCCCCCTTTATCCTCTGACCCGGTTCGTCCGCGCGGCCTCGAGACACACGGCCATCGTCAGTCGATGATGATGATGATGATGATGATGATGATAATAGAGTAAGATGTTTCATTACCCTGAGAGAAAACGAGATCCATTCGTCTAGTCTTTTCGGTGATCTGCCGGAACGCCGTTATTTCCACATATATTAAGGCGTCCATTATCAGTCAGCAATCTCTGAACTTTTTTCTCATTCCTGTCCGCCCAACACCCCCATAGCACAACAAAGAAAGAAAAGAGAAAAAAAAAAAAAAAAAAAAACTTTTCCTCTTCCTCCCCATTTTCACACTCGCACAGAGTAACAATTGCCGCACCCTGCCCCACTGAAAAAAAAACCCACTCGTCGCAGTCGTCGCCCCCGAAACCGCCGCGGCGGGCTGCGAGCGTTTTTTACCCGCCCGAACCGCAGTGACCGCACCTCATCCCCAGCTCCTCTCATCAGGCATCACCAGCGTCGCCCTCTTGGCTGCTGCGCCCGGATCTGCTGCAGTAATCGCAGCTGACCTCGCTCCGCACGAGCTCCGTCACGCCGTCGTTGCCGCTGTAGTCGGCCGGGCCCGACGTCACGTCGTAGTCGCGGCCGCACTGGATGTAGTAAGGGTCGTCGTTGAAGTGGCCGAACCAGTGCGGGTATTGCATGTAGAAGCAGCGCTGATCGCAGAAGCGGATCAGCGTGCGGTGGTGGCTGCAGTTGTAGAGGTGCCGCGTCTTGTTGCACATATCCCTGGAATGCTCTGAGCGTGAATAGTGGAGAGGACGGGAGTAAGGTTTGCGGGTAGGGCGGTGGCTGCGGCGGCGGCGGCGGCGGCGGCGGCTGCGGCTGCGGCTGCGGCAGCGGCACAGCGGCGGTGCGGTAGCGACGTCGACAACGGAGACGGGAAGTGGTGATGGGCGATATTATTAGTGCGGCGCAGCAGCGGCGTTGTAGTCGAAGGCCAAGGGAGGCAATGGTGTGGCTTCGAGAGAGTGGAGCTCGCTTGGAGCTTCTTTAAATGGTGTGTGCTCTGTGGGTAGTGTCGATGAAGGGTGGAGCAAAACAGAGCATCGAGGTTAATAAAGTAGTCACCAAAGGGCCGAGCCGTGGGCGTCTCGTCGGTCGAAAGAGCAAAGAGCAAGTCCTACATGATCCATGCGGCTTTCCTATCTGGGCAAACATAGTCTTAGCACTAACCTCCGTGACCACTGCCCACAAGCAAGCCCTGCTTTTTTTTTTTTTTTGTTTGGTTTTTCCTCACTATACAAAGCAAAGCCGCCCCCTTTTTTCCCAACCGCACCTGCGAGGAGCTGAGGGTTTGGAGGCTTAGAGACACCGTACACCGCCAAAAAAAGAAACCAACGCTCGTTGGGGGCGCACAAGGGGAGAGTATTGGAGAAAAACAAAGGAAAAAAGCGAGCTAAGCTGAGCTCACAGCAGCATCGCGCTGACGATCACACGCGAGCGCGCGCGGGCGCCGTGTTCGTTCGACCTGACGATCTGCAGGCAAGCAAGCTGCTAACTGAATTGGACTCGCAAAAGACGACCAGACGGGCCTCCTCCAAGGGAGGGGAAAAACACAACCACACCTACTCGAGGCATTTGACGAGAAAATTTTCGCGGGAAAGAAAAAAGCATGCGGCTTGGACGACGACGACGGACGGCTGATGCAAGCCCAGCAAAGCAAAAAGCAACGACCTTGCGGATGAAAAGGAATCAAAAAAACAGCAAGCAGCAAGCAGCAAGCAGCCAGCAGCGACATCTCACATACACACAAGCGGCGCATCTAGGCACGTACGTCACAGCAGCTGTCTAGGACTCGCATCTGCCATCATCTGCCATCGCATCATCGAGCGTACAAAGCATGCGCGGCGCGTGCGAGATGGTGGTTCTCCCAGCGGCTCGGGCCCGTCCGCGCGCTATCATAGGTAGGGAGGCGTAGGTAAGGCGCCCGTGGGGGCGCACCATCTGCTGCCTATCTACCTATAGAGACGAGAGAAGGAAAAAGGGGGAGGGGGTGTGGTTGCACGCCGCGCATGCGAACACACCGGAAGCGCGCTGTGCTGCGCTGCACGACGGAGGGCCTGCCATCCGAGACTACCTTCCTAGGTAGGTGGCTACTCGTCGGAAGGGTGTGGGTGAGTGAGAGAGTGAGCGAACGAGCGGGCGCGGATGTCGGGGACGTCAGCAGTTTGCTCTCAGCCCGGCTGGCCCGACTGGTGCCCGACCGCCCTCGATGCCCTGGCGCATATGTATGTATGTATGAGGAATCTATGGGGGCGGCCAACGAAGGCCGGACGGGATCGATCGTCTGGAAAAAAGAGGACCTATCAGCATCCGCCCGCCCGCTGGGGGATCGCCGTGTTTACGCGGCCTCTGATCGAGCCGTCCGCCGTGCTACTCTACCAACGCAACCTTTCTGGGCCTGCGACATCCATTGTCGTGAGAACGAGCTGAGGACGATGATGATGAGGCGCCTGTGCCTTTGTTTCAGGTCCTACCTTCCACGAGCCCCCCCGCGGGGTACACGCCTCGTGGCCTGATTACGCTTGTTGCCTTTTTTGCTTTTTGCTTTTTGCGCCCTGAAGCTCCATCAGCCGCAAATGCGGGAGGCGCCGTCCAGGAATCAAGCCGTAAAATCCAGTGTGGTCACACAGCCGCTATTGATTCTGCGCCTGTCATGCCAGTCAAGCCACTCACTCTACCTTAGCAGCACCGCTTGCATGTGGAACACTATGAAAAGTAAAAATTTGTTATTATCACTCGCACTTTTTTGTCCTCCTGTCATTGGAACCACGTCTGCCTGCTGTTCATATCTTGGAGCTGGCAGCGGGGCCCTTCCTTGAAACCAGTCAGTGGTCCATCAAGGCCGAGACCCAGGCTTTGTGTACATGTCATAATCTTGCTGATAGCAAGCAATCTAGAACATACCATTGCTTCCGGCGCATCAAAGCAAAATCGGACGCTTACAAGTGCTCATGGAAGAAACTCAAGACGGTCTTGTAACCTTGTTCGTATGCCGTCTTGACCTTTTCATCGGACAGGTCGGAGCTATCCCAGTCAGTCGATGCTTCACGCGGAATGGACATGTCACTTACCGGGCAGCCATGAATCCGTGGATTTGTTCGGGGAAAAACTCCACCTGGTTCTTGACCTTGAGTCCTTGCTGCCACTTGGCAGCGGCATCCTTGTCCTCGTCCTTGGAAGGCAGCATGACGACGGGGATGGTGATGTTGGGGGCATCGTTGGGGTCGAGCATGGCAGGATGGGCAATAGCTGCGACCTTGAACTTGGTATCGGCGGTAGATGTGAGGTTGACGATCTTTAGCATGCGTTAGCAGAGGTTCACGCATATGCCCTGCACTTGCATACCTTTCCACCCCAGCAGAAGCCAAGGATACCCCAACTCTCAATACCGCTGACCTTGCCGTTGATCTCGTCGACGACCTTGGGCACACGGGCAACGGTCTTGGGCGGAGAAGCGGGACCAGCAAAGAAATCACCCATCTTCTTCTTCTTGTCATCGTTGTCCGGGGGGTACCAGGAGATGTGGGCGGGCTTTCCATCGAAGAAGTCGGGAATGAAGACCTGGTACTTGCGGTCCTTATCCGAGTGGGCGAGGATGTCGGCACCCTGGAGGGTCTGGGGGTAGAAGCCGAAGATGTCGGAGATGATCAGAATGGCATGCTTTGCGTCGGAGGGGCCGGTTTGGTCTGGAGACAATTATTAGGAGGGGTAATGTGTAGAAATAATATTGGGGGGTCATACAGGTCCTCATGCCATCAATGGTAGTGTAGTTGCCCTTGGCCTCGTAGCCCTCGCTCACGACGGGCGGGATGGAGCAGCCTGTGCAATTGATCAGCTCATCGAAGCTGGCAGAAGCCGAGTCGAATGAGCGTACATGCGGCGGAGTGCTGAGAAGCCATATTGCAGTTGAATCTAGCCTGAGGGATTATGGGTTTTCGGAAGGCCGATGCAGTGTAGCAGGAGGATGGTGAGAAGCGGGTTTGGCGGAGGAGACGAGCAGCCGAAGTCGCCAGGCAACGCATTGTTTCGAAGTTGAGGGGTCGCGTCTGCCCCGCACCACCGTGACACCCCCATCGCCTGACGTCACAACCGAAACTTTCTCAGTGGACCTCTTTGCATAAAGTCCGCAACCGTCCATATGTACCTTGAAGTCCTCTAATTACCTCCGGAACAGATTGACGCTTGACAGAAATCACCGAGCCGCGTACCAGATCAGCGTTGCTGGAACCATCGCCAGTTTTGCGCCATGGTGCGATGCACTCCTGATGGTACGGGGTGAAAGGCTAGCAACGTTTGTCTAAACACCGATTTTCTTCGTTAGTTATGAGGGAGATTGGTAAGATCTCGCTCATGTTCCAGAATAACTCCGAGTTGCCATTCGTCTGATTGTGGAGCTTTGAGAGTGACATGCGGAAGAGCGAGGCATATCTCAAGTCTTCCCCCCTTAGGTCCATGTGCATCCAGGGTTGATCTTCTTTTTCTAAATCGATGGAACAGCCATTCGATACGTTTTCCGCAGTGCGATCACTCGATAACACAAGACTGGAAAATGCGTCTGGCTAGCTGCTTATTTCCGTGTGCCTTTAATATTCGTGACGTTGTCAGAGTTGGGCTTTTTGTTTTTGCAGCTTCTCCTCTCTACACATCTTAACCGCAACTCCCCCTATCAACGGTATTGGAGATTTCGAGGGCCTCAAGGCCATGCTTCAAGTGGAAGACGATCAAGAAGATAATCGTTTAGGTTTGCTTACCTGCCTATACCCTCTAAAAAAAGGTCAAAAAATTATGAAAATCAACACTAGCTCCCTACGCTGAAATACAGCATTAGCATTTAATGAAACTGACCAGTACCACCGCAGCCAACACAAAGATTAACCACACTAGTAGGAGGTTCAGATGTTAAAGAGGTGTACCGTAGACCTCTACTTGCATCGCACTCAAATGCTTTAGTGATTATTGGTGTGTGAGTATCCAAGGGTAAGGCCATTGTCTCGCGACTATATAATGGCTCTTATAGAATAACTCAGATGCAACGTTATTGGGCCGCCCTAATACAGCAACCTTTACGGCATCGACCTTCGGCACGATCAGATAACTAAAGGTCCCTCAAGACCATCGGCTTATAAAGAGCAATGGAAGACCCTTAGGGATCTCGAGCACGTCCTCGTCTACAAAGCCTAGGTATTAAAGACTTCAAGGCAAAAGAACAAGACATATACGACCTTCTGAGAGACGTATATTCCAAAAACACGGTATGAACATTGCCCGTGCTTTCAAATACAGAAGGAATACCACTTAGGCCTCTATGTTTCGTACCGAAAACACTGACCAGCTTTATTACATACCGATGATGGACCTCAGCGTGAGGAGGTAATACTAACGTTTGTCATTTTTAGCAGTTGATGCTTTATGGGGAGGGGCAAAACAACCTCATACCACAACTTTTTTTCTTTCTGTAAAACGCAGACGTGGGCCGGGGGCTGACCCAAATTACTATCTTCTCGACTCTGACCACCGCATGCTCACGCAATCTGAGAAAGATCCTTCACAGAACCGAAGCAGTACTGCTTCAGTGTCAAGGCCTGGACGAGCTTCCTATCTGAGACAGTAAATGTTGTTCTTAAATACTCACTTACCGCACTAACAAAGTAACCTTCACGGCATCAGAATCATAAGGCAGGTAAGCAACTAAAGCGTTCCTAATAACCATACCCGCTTCCAAACCCCAACTCCACATTGCCTACAAACAAGCCCTCAAAAACCTAATAATTCGCACTCGGATCCCCCTCCCACTGCACCAAGCTCTGCGGCTGCTCCGTCCCCGGCGGCGCATACCCACCGACATTCGTAACGGCCGCCGCCAACTGGAGCACAAAGTCGCACTCACGCTTCGGCAGCTTCGTATCCGTGACGAGCGAAAACCCATCATCGCCGGCATTCAGCACACTCGTGAAATCCTCGCCCTCGGTTCCGGGCCGCGGCCACTCGACCGCGGCCTTGAGCCCCGTCTTCTTCGCGTACGTGTTCGGGTCGCCCGCCCGCGCGTGCGACGTCAGGTAGCTCTGGTACGTCTGCGCCAGGTCGCCGAACCCCGGGATCAGGTTGTACGGCACCTTGCCGCCGAAGGAGACGTACGTGCTGTAGAAGGTCGGCAGCAGGTCTGTGCCGTGCCAGCCGGGCGTCACGCTGTACTGCAGGTTCCAGGTGTTGCCGGCATAGGCGTCAGTCAGGTACCGCGCGTAGCATGTGAACGACGTGTCGCGGATAAAGGCTTTCATGCGCGCCGTTTCGGTGCTGTAGGTTTTGTTGGTGCTGACGGGTGGGAAGAAGGACTCGATGGCGGCGTTGATGCCCGAGGTTTTGGAGTAGTCGGGGAAAACATCGTCGACGAAGCCGTTGAATTGTTCGTCGGTTTGGATGTGTCCGTCAACGAAGAGCTCGGATTCGTCTGCTGTGTGGCTGACGATGAGCGACTCCAGGCCTTTGTAGTAGTTGCCTGCCCGTTGTCAGTATTATTGCTAATGTGAACCGGACAGGGGATATTTACCACTTGCAAACTCCAACGGCGCAAGCTGTCTAACAAAGTCACCGTCGGCTGCGGGGCCGATGTTGAACGATCCCAAGGGTGCCTGGTCGATCAATTTGTCATTTGCATCCTTGAGGACGTCTGCATCTGCAGCGCGTAGGCACTCTACACCTTTGCTCTCGCAACCAGCCAGGGAGGCAAAGCTTTGGAACGTGTCTTCCAGCCCACCTTTCCGGTCCCACATAAATTGGTATGCAGGGCTCAATGAGACGGCACGTTTGAACAAGGGTCCGAGCTTCCCCCCCTGTGCGGTCAGATGGTGAAGGATTGAGCTGGCACCGGCAGACTCGCCCCTGGTTGCAGTGTAAGTGAATGCAATGTGGGGGTTGCAGGCTAAGGATGAATACCAGGCATTGACGTTGTCCTTGTCTCCTCCTACCAGGCTGATATGATCCTGGACCCATTCGAAGACAGCTGCAGACGTCGTCAGACTTGGTCGACCAACAGTAGAGAATGCTTACCTCGCTGATCCCAGAAACCAGCATTGGGCAGACCATCCTTCTCCATGGTGCTCCCCGCAAGGAAGCCGTAAGCGCCGACCCTATAATTACCCGCAACATAGATGACTTTACCACCCGTTTGTTCGATGAGCCCTTCGCCGGAGTAAAAGCCTATCAAGTCCAAGGCGTCTTTGCTACCAAACGCTGTTTGTCTCTCAGTGGCAATTCAAGCAAAGAAACAGATGACTTACTAAATGCACCACCATAGATATACACAATCACTGGAAGACTGCTTCCGTTTGAATCCCGCACGGCATCTCCAGGGACATACAGGTCTAGGAACAAGCAGTCCTCATCGCCCGTCTCGAGCAATGGCAAAGGTATGCCACCTAGAAACTGGTTGAGTGCTCCTCCAGCGGGCGACTGGTTACCTGGACCAAGCAAGTTGAGCCCCTTTGGGATTTGCTGGATGCAGCTCGGCCCATAGCTCCCGTCTTGAACCCCGTCAACATTCTCTGGGGACTGGGGCTTCTTCCAACGATTTTGGCCGGTAGGAGATGCAGCAAATCTAATGTTCTTGAAAGTGTAGATCTATGCACATGTAAGCGGTGAGCGGAGCCTGTGGCATATTTTAACTGACGTCTGCATCTAGGTCATAATTTGAAGCTTTCCAAGTCCCGTAAGGTAGGACGAGGGTTGGAAGGTCAGCACGCTTCTCAAACTTGATACCAAGGTTTGCCTTGAGTGGTTCCTTGGCAGGTGCAGCAAGCACGAGGCTCACAAAAAGACCAATGAACAAGAAGGGAAGCATGATGAGACGGAAGTTGTGTGACGCGGTATGAGACCGAACCACTCAGCGTGTGATCGACAATGCTGTGGAAAGCGCATTGAGCTCTCTTCATATAGAGCCCGCTTTGCCCAAGGCCGAGGCATCACGAGCGCAGTTCTTTTGCTGCAGGGGGAGTTAACGTGCTTCGGCCCGTTGCGCATATATCTCAGGTTGCAGCGGGATATTCAGTCATTGGACGTCTCCCAAGAAGCCGACATGAAAAAAGCATGGCACTTCTGCCGTATGCCGGAGGAAAGATCAATTGCGATCGATCAGACAGGGATATAAATCAGGGAGAGTCCCCTTATGATGGTCAGTGTACGAGAATCGTAACAGTGGCTTCTGGTCATGCAGCTAGATTTCGAGGGCCCGAAGCTGATGGTGTGTAGTAGGAGTGGTGGTGCGGAGCGGGCCCAAGAAAAGATGAGTGAGAATCTGGGGTACCTCCGTCGTCAATTCTCGTCTGAATGCGGGGTAGCCAATCGGAGGCCAACAACACGGCCAGCCTTGATATTGCGTGTCTGTCAGGTGCCCGCTGTCGCTCAAAAAAAGAGCGCATCCGAGGTACAGGGCTGAGGGTAGCCGTTGTGGTCTGCTACCCAGAGAGGAACGGACCCTGTAAGCTGATGGTCTATACGAGAGCCATATGGCACTGCACCATTTCAGGTACTTTCGCCGACCTAAACACCAGCTTGTGAGCTACTTGGCCTCAGGTCGTCTGGCCCGCTGTCGGGCAGGTTTGCTTTGTAGCGGCCGAGATTTGTACATTACATCCATCTGCAAGCGCGGAGTCAATTAAGTTGTGATGCATACACGGCGCTTGCAAGTCTCGGACTTCGCTAAACCTTGCATGAGCTTCAGTAAGACGCGTTGGCAAAGGCCGATTGTCCATCATATGAAAGTCTGGACCAGATTGGCGCTGATGTAGGCGGGGTCTGGAGGCAGCGTGGTTCAAAGAAAAATATGACAGACGTTGCGAAAGCATGAGAGCAGGACTACTGCGTTGTCGAGCAGGGGCAGCGCTGCTTTTTACGCAGAGACATGGTGGTACCTTGTCAGTGAGACAGCGGTGGGCGGAATCAGCGGGCCGGAACGAGGGAAAGCAAACACCAAGGAGTTATAAACACTCAACAGTCTGGCGTTCACGTCCACAGATGACGGGGAAGGTGGAGAGGGAAAGGTGGCCATGGGGAATCCATGAAAATGCGACCGGAACGGGCCCCGGCCCGACCAGCCTGGCAGGAATGTCCCTACCGTGCCTGCCTGTTATCGTCGTCGTGACGGATTGCCTCGGAAGCCGACCCGATCCATTACTCCTGAGCAGGATGAAGCTTCCTTTTCTAGTTTTCTAGACCCTCCTCTACTGACCCCGGGTGCCCTCCCGAGCACCTGGTCGATCAACCCTCACAACCCCGCCATGGCACTCGGCATTGTGTCGACCGAGCCGACGCCATGCTCTCAAGTTAAAGTGGCTGTACTCGCAATGGAAATCCATACGAATCACCGTGCAAAACAATGTCTCCCTCCAAAGTTCCGCCGAGCGGCGTCTGGTCAGTCTCCCCCCACTCTGCCCCGCATTCGACCCCGCGACGCAACGACTGACCAAGAAACAGGGCCCCCGCCATCACCCTCTTCGACCCCAACACCGACTCGCTCTGCCCCGAAGAGCAGGCAAAATACTACAAGTACCTCTCGACGACTGGGCTCGCCGGTCTCGTCATCCTCGGCACCAACGCTGAAGCCTTCCTCCTCACACGCCATGAGCGCCGCACACTGATCAGCACTGCGCGCGCGGCCGTCGGGCCCTCATTCCCGATTATGGCGGGCTGCGGCGCCCACTCGACGGCCCAAGTCCTAGAACTGATCGGCGATGCGGCGGCCGCGGGCGCCAACTACACCCTGGTGCTGCCGCCAGCGTACTTTGGAAAGGCCAGCACCCCCGCCGTCGTCGAGCGCTTCTTCGACCAGGTCGCCGAGAAGAGCCCCCTGCCCATTGTCATTTACAACTTCCCCGGCGTGTGCAATGGCGTCGACATCGATTCCGACTTGATCACGCGCCTGCACCACCGCCACGACAACATCGTCGGCGTCAAGCTGACGTGCGGTAGCGTGGCCAAGGTCACGAAGCTGTCGGCTACCGTGTCCCCCGAGAACTTTGCGATCTTTGGTGGGCAGTCGGATTTCTTGCTCGGCGCACTGGCGTCCGGCGCCTCGGGCTGCATCGCTGCGTTTGGCAATATCGCGCCGCGCACCATTGTTCGCATCTACGACCTCTACCGGGAGGGGAAGACGAAGGAGGCGCTGGAGCTGCACCAAAAGGCGGCGCTGGCGGAGCAGCCATGCAAGCTGGGCATTGCAGCGACCAAGTATGCGGCTGCGCAGTTCACGGGGCCTAGGGCTGGGATTGAGGGGGCGGTGCAACTGGCGAAGCCAAGGGCGCCTTATGAGGAGCCTGGAGAAAAGGTCAAGGAGACGGTGAGAGAGACGATGAAGGAGCTACAGGAGATTGAGGGAAAGCTGGCTTGAATCGTGAGTCATTATGCACATCCGATGAAATAAACTTAGACAAAGGTCTTTATTTTTGATGCGAAAGCATGACCTGCATCGACAGACCTTGGGCTGTCTTGTCCTGGGCCCCTCGACTCTTCATTATCTAACGTGGACAAACTCATTCCGATGCTGCTCTAAGTGCACCGACAGACCATGTGACGTCTTGTCCACTCCAACTCTTCCAACCGCTGACAAACTCCTTCCAATGCAAACGCATCGACCGACCTTATGATGTCTTGTCCGCGGGGTATCATATCTCATGACTTTTTCTGACCAGAACAAACTCCTTCCAATGCACGACAATGCTGAAAGACTAGAGAAAAGACAGCGCTGAACCTGCATCGACAGACCATGTGACGTCTTGCTCCCAAGGAAATATGGAACAAACTCCTTTCAATGCAAATGGGGCGTTGGAAATGCGAAAAAAAAAAAAAAAAAAAAAATAGCCGCCTAAACCTTGAGAAATCCAAGGAGCTGGACTGGCGGACTGGTCATGCAAAATAGCAAGGAAATGCT